AGGTGGATCACCCTCCCTACCCTGGGTTATTCTGGGTGGATCACCCTCCCTACCCTGGGTTATTCTGGGTGGATCACCCTCCCTACCCTGGGTTATTCTGGGTGGATCACCCTCCCTACCCTGGGTTATTCTGGGTGGATCACCCTCCCTACCCTGGGTTATCCTGGGTGGGTCACCCTCCCTACCCAGGGTTATCCTGGGTGGGTCACCCTCCTTACCCTGGGTTATCCTAGGTGGATAACCCTCCCTACCCTAGGTTAAAAAATCCCACCAAACATCTTATCCGGTGTCCAGGTTCCTCCCTGGAGTCGGACACCAGGTGTCCAGGTTCCTCCCTGGAGTCGGACACTGGGTGGCCGGGTTCCTCCTTGGAGTCGGACTCTGGGTGGCCGGGTTCCACCCTGGAGTCGGACACCGGGTGGCCGGGTTCCTCCTTGGAGTGGGACACCGGGTGGCCGGGTTCCCCCCTGGAGTCGGACAGCAGGTGTCCAGGTTCCTCCCTGGAATCGGACACCGGGTGTCCAGGTTCCTCCCTGGAGTTGGACACTGGGTGTCCAGGTTCCTCCCTGGAGTCGGACACCGGGTTCCCAGGTTCCTCCCTGGAGTCGGACACCGGATGTCCAGGTTCCTCCCTGGAGTCGGACACCGGGTTCCCAGGTTCCTCCCTGGAGTCGGACACCGGATGTCCAGGTTCCTCCCTGGAGTCGGACACTGGGTGGCCGGGTTCCTTCCTGGAGTCGGACGCCGGGTTCCTCCCTGGATTCGGACACCAGGTGTCCAGGTTCCACCCTGGAGTCGGACTCCGGGTGGCCGGGTTCCTCTCTGGAGTCGGACACCAGGTGTCCAGGTTCCTCCCTGGAGTCGGACTACGGGTGGCCGGGTTCCTCCCTGGAGTTGGACTCTGGGTGGCCGGGTTCCTCCCTGGAGTCGGACAAAAGGTGTCCAGGTTCCTCCCTGGAGTCGGACTCTGGGTGGCCTGGTTCCTCCCTGGAGTCGGACACCAGGTGTCCAGGTTTCTCCTTGGAGTTGGACACCGGGTGGCCGGGTTCCTCCCTGGAGTCGGACACCGGGTGGCCGGGTTCCACCCTGGAGTCGGACTCCGGGTGGCCGGGTTCCACCCCGGAATCGGACTCCGGGTGGCCGGATTCCACCCTGGAGTCGGACACCGGGTGGCCGAGTTCCACCCTGGAGTCGGATTCCGGGTGGCCGGTTTCCACCCTGGAGTCGGACACCGGGTGGCAGGGTTCCACCCTGGAGTCGGACAATGGGTGGCAGGGTTCCACCCTGGAGTCGGACTCCGGGTGGCAGGGTTCCACCCTTGAATCGGACACCGGATGGCCGGGTTCGTTACGACTCGCCACACAGTCGCCCTTAACAACAACAACAACAACAACCCATCAACAACATCGACGGTACAAATATTATTACAATTAAAACTAAGCTGTAAACTCGCATGGGTCATACAGCAGTGCAGGGAGGGATCTGTTAATGAAATATATGAAGATCAGAGACCAGTGAAGATCAGGATATTGCAAGAACAATGGAAATATCACGACAATTTACATGTCTTCAAGACTCCTGGTTGTCTTCAAGACTCCTGGTTGTCTTCAAGACCCCTGGTTGTCTTCAAGACTCCTGGTTGTCTTCAAGACTCCTGGTTGTCTTCAAGACTCCTGGTTGTCTTCAAGACCCCTGGTTGTCTTCAAGACTCCTGGTTGTCTTCAAGACTCCTGGTTGTCTTCACGACCCCTGGTTGTCTTCAAGACTCCTGGTTGTCTTCAAGACTCCTGGTTGTCTTCAAGACCCCTGGTTGTCTTCAAGACCCCTGGTTGTCTTCAAGACCCCTGGTTGTCTTCAAGACTCCTGGTTGTCTTCAAGACTCCTGGTTGTCTTCAAGACTCCTGGTTGTCTTCAAGACTCCTGGTTGTCTTCACGACTCCTGGTTGTCTTCAAGACTCCTGGTTGTCTTCAAGACTCCTGGTTGTCTTCAAGACCCCTGGTTGTCTTCAAGACCCCTGGTTGTCTTCAAGACCCCTGGTTGTCTTCAAGACTCCTGGTTGTCTTCAAGACCCCTGGTTGTCTTCAAGACTCCTGGTTGTCTTCACGACCCCTGGTTGTCTTCAAGACCCCTGGTTGTCTTCAAGACCCCTGGTTGTCTTCAAGACTCCTGGTTGTCTTCAAGACTCCTGGTTGTCTTCAAGACCCCTGGTTGTCTTCAAGACTCCTGGTTGTCTTCAAGACCCCTGGTTGTCTTCAAGACCCCTGGTTGTCTTCAAGACCCCTGGTTGTCTTCAAGACCCCTGGTTGTCTTCAAGACCTCTGGTTGTCTTCAAGACTCCTGGTTGTCTTCAAGATCCCTGGTTGTCTTCAAGACCCCTGGTTGTCTTCAAGATCCCTGGTTGTCTTCAAGACCCCTGGTTGTCTTCAAGACTCCTGGTTGTCTTCCAGACTCCTGGTTGTCTTCAAGACTCCTGGTTGTCTTCAAGACTCCTGGTTGTCTTCAAGACCCCTGGTTGTCTTCAAGACCCCTGGTTGTCTTCAAGACTCCTGGTTGTCTTCAAGACTCCTGGTTGTCAAGACCCCTGGTTGTCTTCAAGACTCCTGGTTGTCTTCAAGACTCCTGGTTGTCTTCAAGACTCCTGGTTGTCTTCAAGACTTTTGGTTGTCTTCAAGACTCCTGGTTGTCTTCAAGACCCCTGGTTGTCTTCAAGACCCCTGGTTGTCTTCAAGACCCCTGGTTGTCTTCAAGACTTTTGGTTGTCTTCAAGACTCCTGGTTGTCTTCAAGACTCCTGGTTGTCTTCAAGACTCCTGGTTGTCTTCAAGACTCCTGGTTGTCTTCAAGACTCCTGGTTGTCTTCAAGACTCCTGGTTGTCTTCAAGACTTTTGGTTGTCTTCAAGACTCCTGGTTGTCTTCAAGACTCCTGGTTGTCTTCAAGACTCCTGGTTGTCTTCAAGACTCCTGGTTGTCTTCAAGACCCCTCGTTGCCTTCAAGACCCCTGGCTGTCTTCAAGACTCCTGGTTGTCTTCAAGACTCCTGGCTGTCTTCAAGACTCCTGGTTGTCAAGACTCCTGGTTGTCTTCAAGACCCCTGGTTGTCTTCAAGACCCCTGGTTGTCTTCAAGACTCCTGGTTGTCTTCAAGACCCCTGGTTGTCTTCAAGACCCCTGGTTGTCTTCAAGACCCCTGGTTGTCTTCAAGACCCCTGGTTGTCTTCAAGACCCCTGGTTGTCTTCACGACCCCTGGTTGTCTTCAAGACCCCTGATTGTCTTCAAGACCCCTGGTTGTCTTCACGACCCCTGGTTGCCTTCAAGACCCCTGGTTGTCTTCAAGACCCCTGGTTGTCTTCAAGACCCCTGGTTGTCTTCACGACCCCTGGTTGTCTTCAAGACTCCTGGTTGTCTTCAAGACTCCTGGTTGTCTTCGAGACTCCTGGTTGTCTTCAAGACCCCTGGTTGTCTTCAAGACCCCTGGTTGTCTTCAAGACCCCTGGTTGTCTTGAAGACTCCTGGTTGTCTTCAAAACCCCTGGTTGTCTTCAAGACCCCTGGTTGTCTTCAAGACTCCTGGTTGTCTTCAAGACCCCTGGTTGTCTTCAAGACCCCTGGTTGTCTTCACGACCCCTGGTTGTCTTCAAGACCCCTGGTTGTCTTCAAGACTCCGGGTTTTCAAGACCCCTGGTTGTCTTCAAGACTAATGGTTGTCTTCAAGACTCCTGGTTGTCTTCAAGACTCCTAGTTGTCTTCAAGACTCCTGGTTGTCTTCAAGACTCCTGGTTGTCTTCAAGACTCCTGGTTGTCTTCAAGACTCCTGGTTGTCTTCACGACCCCTGGTTGTTTTTAAGACCCCTGGTTGTCTTCACGACCCCTGGTTGTCTTCAAGACCCCTGGTTGTCTTCACGACCCCTGGTTGTCTTCAAGACTCCTGGTTGTCTTCAAGACTCCTGGTTGTCTTCAAGACTCCTGGCTGTCTTCAAGACTCCTGGTTGTCTTCAAGACTCCTGGCTGTCTTCAAGACTCCTGGTTGTCTTCAAGACTCCTGGTTGTCTTCAAGACCCCTGGTTGTCTTCAAGACCCCTGGTTGTCTTCAAGACCCCTGGTTGTCAAGAACCCTGGTTGTCTTCACGACCCCTGGTTGTCTTCAAGACCCCTGATTGTCTTCAAGACCCCTGGTTGTCTTCACGACCCCTGGTTGCCTTCAAGACCCCTGGTTGTCTTCAAGACCCCTGGTTGTCTTCAAGACCCCTGGTTGTCTTGAAGACTCCTGGTTGTCTTCAAGACTCCTGGTTGTCTTCAAGACCCCTGGTTGTCTTCAAGACTCCTGGTTGTCTTCAAGACCCCTGGTTGTCTTCAAGATCCCTGGTTGTCTTCACGACCCCTGGTTGTCTTCAAGACTCCGGGTTTTCAAGACCCCTGGTTGTCTTCAAGACTAATGGTTATCTTCAAGACCCCTGGTTGTCTTCAAGACCCCTAGTTGTCTTCAAGACTCCTGGTTGTCTTCAAGACCCCTGGTTGTCTTCAAGACTCCTGGTTGTCTTCAAGACTCCTGGTTGTCTTCACGACCCCTGGTTGTTTTTAAGACCCCTGGTTGTCTTCACGACCCCTGGTTGTCTTCAAGACTCCTGGTTGTCTTCACGACCCCTGGTTGTCTTCAAGACCCCTGGTTGTCTTCACGACCCCTGGTTGTCTTCAAGACTCCTGGTTGTCTTCAAGACTCCTGGTTGTCTTCAAGACCCCTGGTTGTCTTGAAGACTCCTGGTTGTCTTCAAAACCCCTGGTTGTCTTCAAGACCCCTGGTTGTCAAGACTCCTGGTTGTCTTCAAGACCCCTGGTTGTCTTCAAGACCCCTGGTTGTCTTCACGACCCCTGGTTGTCTTCAAGACTCCGGGTTTTCAAGACCCCTAGTTGTCTTCAAGACTCCTGGTTGTCTTCAAGACCCCTGGTTGTCTTCAAGACTCCTGGTTGTCTTCAAGACTCCTGGTTGTCTTCACGACCCCTGGTTATTTTTAAGACCCCTGGTTGTCTTCACGACCCCTGGTTGTCTTCAAGACTCCTGGTTGTCTTCACGACCCCTGGTTGTCTTCAAGACCCCTGGTTGTCTTCACGACCCCTGGTTGTCTTCAAGACTCCTGGTTGTCTTCAAGACTCCTGGTTGTCTTCAAGACTCCTGGTTGTCTTCAAGACTCCTGGTTGTCTTCAAGACTCCTGGTTGTCTTCAAGACCCCTGGTTGTCTTCAAGACTCCTGGTTGTCTTCACGACCCCTGGTTATCTTCAAGACCCCTGGTTGTCTTCAAGACTCCTGGTTGTCTTCACGACCCCTGGTTGTCTTCAAGACTCCTGGTTGTCTTCAAGACTCCTGGTTGTCTTCAAGACTCCTGGTTGTCTTCAAGACTCCTGGTTCTCTTCAAGACTCCTGGTTGTCTTCAAGACTCCTGGTTGTCTTCAAGACTCCTGGTTGTCTTCAAGACCCCTGGTTGTCTTCAAGACCCCTGGTTATCTTCAAGACCCCTGGTTGTCTTCAAGACTCCTGGTTGTCTTCAAGACTCCTGGTTGTCTTTCAAGACCCCTGGTTATCTTCAATACCCCTGGTTGTCTTCTAAATCCCCTGGTTGTCTTCAAAACCCCTGGTTGTCTTCTAGACCCCTGGTTGTCTTCTAGACCCCTGGTTGTCTTTGAAGACCCCTGGTTGTCTTTGAAGACCCCTGGTTGTCTTTGAAGACCCCTGGTTGTCTTTGAAGACCCCTGGTTGTCTTTGAAGACCCCTGGTTGTCTATCAAGATATCTGGTTGTCTTTGAAGACCCCTGGTTGTCTTTGAAGACCCCTGGTTGTCTTTCAAGGCCCCTGGTTGTCTTCAAGACCCCTGGTTGTCTTCAAGACCCCTGGTTGTCAAGACTCCTGGTTGTCTTCAAGACCCCTGGCTGTCTTTCAAGACCCGTGGCTGTCTTTCAAGACCCCTGGCTGTCTTTCAAGGCCCCTGGCTGTCTTTCAAGATCCCTGGCTGTCTTTTAAGACTCCTGGTTGTCTTTCAAGACCCCTGGTTGTCTTCAAGATCCCTGGTTGTCTTTCAAGACCCCTGGTTGTCTTCAAGACCCCTGGTTCTCTTTCAAGACCCTTGGTTGTCTTTCAAGACCCCTTGTTGTCTTTCAAGACCCCTGGCTGTCTTTCAAGACCCCTAGTTGTCTTTCAAGACCCCTGGTTGTCTTAAAGACCCCAGGTTGTCTTTCAAGACCCCAGGTTGTCTTTCAAGACCCCAGGTTGTCTTTCAAGACCCCTGGCTGTCTTTCAAGACCCATGGTTGTCTTCAAGACCCCTGGCTGCCTTTTAAGATCTCTGATTGTCTTTCAAGATTCCTGATTGTCTTCAAGATCCCCTGGTTGTCTTCAAGACCCCTGGTTGTCTTGAAGATCCCC